AGTCGTCATTGTTGTTTGGCGGGCCGGGGTGAATTCGAACTCACCACCTTAGGTACATGTGGCTGGTGCCTTAGCCACTTGAGCCACAGGTGCTGAGCCAGGATTTCCTGAATAGTATTCTGCTATATATATATACCACATTTTCTTTTCTTTCTTTCTTTCTTTTTTTGAGACAGAGTCTCACTATATTGCCCTTGGTAGAGTGCTATGCCATCACAGTTCATGGCAACTTCAAACTCTTGGGCGATTCTCTTGCCTCAGCCTCCCAAGTAGCTGAGACTACAACCACCCGCCATAATGCTTGGCTATTTTTTCTTGCAGTTGTCGTTGTTTAGCAGGCCCTGGCCGGGTTCAAACCCACCAGCCTCAGTGTATGTGGCTGGCACTATAACCACTGTGCTACGGGTGCCGAGCTGATACCACATTTTCTTTCAGCAGTCATCTACTGATGGACACTTGGGTTGATTCCGTATCTTGACTATTGTGAATAATGCTACAATAAGCGTGGGAGTGCAGATATCTCTTCAACATACTGATTCCATTTCCTTTGGAGATATATATATATATATATATACACACACACATATATATACCCACCCGTAGTGGTTTCGTTGGATCATATGGGGCTGGTGCCCTATTCCTTTGAGCCACAGGTGCTGCCCAGGTAGTGCTATTTTTAATTTTTTGAGGAACCTCCATGCAATAATGGCACAAACTTACATTCCCACTAACAGTATGCAAGGGTTTTCTTTTCTTCAAATCCTCTCCAACACTTTGTCTTTTTGAGAATTCTAACAGATATGAAGTGACATGTCATGGTGATTTTAATTAGTATTTCTCCAATGATTAGTGATTTGAAGCATTTTTTCATTATTTTTTTTTTAGAGACAGAGTCTCACTTTATTGCCCTTGGTGGAGTGCTGTGGTTTCACAGCTCACAGCAACCTCCAGCGCCTGGGCTTAGGTGATTCTCTTGCCTCAGCCTCCCGAGTAGCTGGGACTACAGTCACTCGCCACAATGCCTGGCTATATTTTTGTTGCAGTTTGGCCAGGGCTGGATTTGAATCCGCTATCCTTGGTATATGGAGCCAGTGCCCTACTCACTGATACACAGGCACTGCCCATTTTAAGCATTTTTTCATATCTCTATTGTTTATTTATATGTCTTCTTTTGAGAAATGGCTATTCAGGTCTTTTGCCCTTTTTTTTTTTTTTTTGAGACGGAGTCTCAAGCTGTCACCCTGGGTAGAGTGCCCTGGCATCATAGCTCACAGCAACCTCCAACTCCATCTCAAGTGATCCTCTTGCCTCAGTTTTTCTGTTTTTTAGTAGAGACGAGATCTCGCTTTTGCTCAGGCTGTGAGCTCAAGCAATCCACCCACTTCAGCCTCCCAGAGTGCTAGGATTACAGGTGTGACCCACCGCGCCTGACCAAGTTTCAATATGTTAAGAAGGAACATTCTTTTCATTTTTTGTTTTCTACTATATAATCTTCCTTTCTCCTGAAGCCCTTTCTAGTGAGGATATTACTATG